TTAACGTTTATAGAAGAAGAAATCTGCACCCTAGTATTATTTTATCATAATTAAAGTGTTATTCACGTTGAACGACATTCATACAAATACATAAACTCCGAATGCTGCTTACAACCTCTCACGTTTGTCAAAAACTTATGAGTCCTCTCATCAGTCCACTAACGGGTGCGGGCAATAGTCTTCTCCTAACAGGTTCGATTTTGTGTTCGGCTATCTCCAGAGTTTGACTCTCTTTCCCATTCGGAGAGTTTTCGGTTTCGTGCGTGCTTATTTGGTACAGTTTGTTTTTCATTTTGTTTCTTATATGTATATGTCAGTCTCTTCCTCACACATATAGCTTACCTTTACCGTCATCGACAATTCGAAATATCTTTCTTTCTTTCATATCATACCAACAAACTTTACATTTTTGTTGGGGCTGCAACCGAAATGTTTTTATGTTTGTTTCATTTTTTCTCCTTTTTTATTGCTATACTTGTGTATAAGTGTATATGGCTGTTGGATACGTGTAGTACACGTTTATTCATTTTTATACAGCATTGTTTACAGTTAGTACGGCAGCTGTTATCAGCGTCGTGTGTTTTATAGCGGCAGCAACGACTTACCCTGCAGACATCAAGCTCATTCGTGTGTTTGCATACTTTTTTCTTTTTGAAGGTTTCACTACGTTGGACCTCTGGTTGGCTCAACATTTGCGCACATAAACAAACCTACATTTATACGTATAATTCGTATAAGGAGTTTACCGACTTACATTTTTACAATTCGTGTAACATTTTTATGAAAAATATTAATTAATAATTAAATGAAAATGGATAGTAATGGGAATGCGGCCATATGTTGTGACCTATACAAATAATTAATAAAAGAAAAGCGGACACTGACAGGACCCGGTTCTTTCCGGTTAATAAATTATCTTTAACAAACATAAAAAAATAGTGGGAACCGGCCAACGTCCACGGTTAATGAAGATTTCCACTGTATTTCATTATTTGCACAAAATGTGGCCAAATTACTCAAAATACACTTCTTCCTTAACGTATGAATTTATAAACCCGTAACTTTCGCTTCGGTTATAGATACACATTGGTGACAACCAATGTTTCACGTATCGATGTTTCAGCAAAAAATTTGTTTCAACTCAAAAACGGACGATCAAGGCTGCACGAATCGAGGTTTCAATGAAAATGTTGTTGGAATGCGTTTAAACTCAAAACCGAACAATCAAGGTTTCGAAAAAAGTTCTGTTATTGGATCGCTTTCGAATTCAAAAGGAAACCACGCCAAAAATTGCATATTTCAGGTTTTGAATTTTACAAAATCCTGTATCTTCAAAATGACTACGGGATATTCTTGTATTTAGTAATAATTTTAGAGCTACACATAAACAGAGGGATATATTTCTTCAATATAGATATCCATAACTAATTATAGTGAAATTCATCGTAACCGCAACCCCCCGACGTGGTACACTTGTGCAGCTACAGGGGTGAGACGAAAACGTGTGTTAAAAATGTATTCCTAGAGTCAGAAGCTGCACCACAGAACTATATTTCTACTAAACTAATAAATGTCAAGCAGGAGTGCCAGCGCTAGTCATTTTTTTGCTGTGAACATTTTACAAGTACGTATTCATGTACATATATAAGAATTTAAAAAATCGGAAACTAAAAATCGTTCACAATTTTGTTGATACATTTTATGAAATTTTGTTTGTTTTCAAAGATAATTTGAACAAAATATTACTAAAATAGTGTACGTGTCCGGCTGGAACTCATGTCCGATTGTAAGAACTGATTTTGTATGGAAATATTGTTGAAAACGGTGTATTCATTAAATTTTTCCAGTTATATTTATCTGGTTATAAAGACTATCCTGAATTAGTATTTCACTTTATTACCGTTCTTATCAAAATTTAATGGACCACATAACTTTAATAATTAGATGTGTGTATATTGCTATTCTCATAATACTAATGTGTTTTCAATTTAAATATGTCTAAAGTGTTGCTGACACAGTCAGCTGAGACATATGCGTTTTTGATGTATACATATAACAGTATTTCAAAGACGAAATTGGAAGCTACAACAAATGTACAATGTAAATAAAAATATTTGGCAGCTCTGTACACATTTTCAAAGGTGGTTGTGAGGTGCACCAACTGTGCATTGTTACTAACATTAAAGATTTTCAAATCGTTCACGGATATTGTATTTGAGTTTTTATAACCAAGTATATACATATGTACCTGCATTTCTATCTTGCCAGCTCGTATGACTGAGCTTGCTGCGTGGCAGTTATTGTCGGCGCAGTCACTGAAGCCGAAGCTTCAGTCATTTCGCTTCGTTTGATGCGGCTTTTATTTTAGCATCGGTTTTGGCCACACGATGCTTCTGGCAGCCCGTTATTGTCGTCTGTTGGATGACTCCGGTCCCAAAAGCGTTCACAAATAGTAAACAAGCGCATATTTCTTAATACATACATCCATATATACACTTTGTTTCATTGCTATAAAGACATTATATTTCTGTGAAATATAGTGTGATGTTAAAGCTCTATGGTAACTCTAAAAATTCGATAAAAACTAATTTTTTCTAACGGAATTGTAGGTAGTAACCGGAATGCACTGAAAACGGTGTTTCATAGCTATAAATACACTCTTACTGATCAGTGCCGTTTAGAGTTATAAATTAAGTTTATTAAATTGCGTTAGCTAATATGAGAATGCAGCGCTAAATCATACGTAACGATTAAGAGAAAGGCATTGAATGGCGAGGGTTTGAGCAATAACTCAATTGGTCAAACCCTCGCCATTCAATGCCTTTCTCTTAATCGTTACGTATGATTTAGCGCTGCATTCTCATATTAGCTAACGCAATTTAATAAACTTAATTTATAACTCTAAATGGCACTGATCAGTAAGAGTGTATTTATAGCTATGAAACACCGTTTTCAGTGCATGCGCTGAGTTATTGCTCTGAATTTGGGAAGGTCGGTAACTGTTACCTGAATAACAAAGAAAATTATGGTCAGAGAACATACCCATTATATTAACACTCGACAGGAAAGACAAATTTGTGGACAATTATCAAATTAAACGACGCCAATGCGGAAAGTGAAAAAAGACAACCAAATTTCTGCATCTGTACCAACAATTTGGTGTGCGATGAAACGAAATTTTAATATTGTACGTAAGTAAATGCAGAAAGCACCTCTTTTGAAACCACAATACAAAGTCTATCGTCTCAGTTTTATCTGAAATCACATGAATAAAGAATAAGAAAAATGAAATTTTTAATAATATGATTGCGGCAAAGTAGACAATGCGCTAACAAAAAACTTTACTATTGATCCTAGGTGATTTTTTCGATTATTAAAAGTTTAACCTTGGTGGTCCAGAGGGCGTTTTGGGATACTAGAGAGTTTTATGAAAAGAGCCGCAATATCTTTCAAAGCGAAGTTTCGCCGGAGGCTCATTTATGATATGGAACGCATTCTCAAATTCTGGGACAGCACCATTGGCATTTATTCTTACCCAATATTAGGAGCAAATCTGCTACCCTATATATAGCACACACATATCCGCAAAAATATTTCTCTTTTCAATAAGAAAACACAAAAATCCATACGAGCGGTCAACGAAAACGTGGCTTCAATGTAAAAATATCAATATTTTGGAATGGCCAGCTTGTTCTCCTGATGTAAGTCCTATTGAGAACATCTGGAGATGGTTGGCAAGAAAGATTTAAAAGGATTACCGTCAATTTATTACGATTTCGAAGCTGAAACGGCTATTTGGAAAAATGGGCTTAATTGACCCCGGAAATGCTTTCTTATTCCACCAACTCAATGCCAAATGGAATGTTCGTACTTATTAATTATAATTGAAACCAAATAAATTATTAGAAAAAAAATTGTTTCTTTACTTTTTTCATTGTGGAATAGCTGTCTTTATAGCAATGAAACACCGTTTTCAGTGCATCTATTAAGAAATTTATTTTTTTAATGGAATTGCTAGATTTACCATAGAGCTTTAAAATAATATTTTTCAGTATTTCACAGAAATATAATGTTTTTATAGTAATGAAACAAAGTGTATGCATGCCCATGTTCTTATGCACTTATATAATTATGTACATGCTTTGTAGAGTGCAACCACACTATATAGTTCGTGCGCTCCGACTTCGCCATCGACATCGTCATCTTGTCGTTTATGCTCGTTCGTGTTTGTTGATTTGTTGGTTCTCCGGATCGTTGGTTTGTTGGTGTATTTTTTCGCTTGAGAGCTCATTAACGTTTCGCTTCGCTAAGTGCGCTGTATCGCCTGGGAGACAGCAACGCGTCAGCCCAAGCAAACCGAACATCGTCAAGGGAAGTTGAGCAAAACCCAGTCATACAGCCAAAATTAAAATGCATTAAGCTGTGAAAAAGTCTCGAAATTATATTTTTTGCAAAAGTTTTTCTTCACCCGTGTCTATGCGCGCGTATCATAGTTCGTGTACAGGTGTTTGACTGTCTATAGGCCAATGAAATAATGTATCTGATTAGCTAAAAACGCTAAAATATCACCTTTGGAAATTAGTGAATTCTATACATACATATATGTGTATATACAAATATTAAGAAAATGTCCAGTGAAAAAAGAACATAATGAAGAAAAACGTGACAAGTAGTTAAATTTAAAGTGTAAAATAAAGTAAAGGTGTAATTTTTAAAATTCTGCTGGACACAATGAGAAATAAAATCAATCAGTTTATCTACAAGCGAATTTTTGTGTAAAATGTCCCACCGTTAGATATACATACATATATTTATGTAATATAAATTATATGCATATATGATATATGATAACTTATTAACGTCAAAATAAAATATTTTCATCGAAATTCTCACAGAATAATTAGTTGCGCTCCCATTATTTGCCATATATTAATATTAAACAGTAAGTGTATTTGTAATAATAAATACAAAATAATAAAATGTGTAGACTTATTTTTTAAAATTGCGGGATTACAATAACAGCAATTGAACTCGATTCTAAATATTTGCGTATTCAATGAATGCTAAGAAAATTATAATATACCTAACGTGTAAAAAATTCGTAACGGGAATATGCAAAAGCTATATGCATTCGCATTTGCGGAGTGTAAACTTAGCAAATAAAATAAAAGTAGAACACAATTCTTTGAAATTATATTTTATACTAATATCTGAAATAATACATCAAAATAAAACGTGTTGGAAAATATAATATACATCATTAATACGTAAAAACATCAAAAATTAAAGCTACGTATATGTACGTTTATTCCTCCTTCACTACAAAAACTGTGTTAACAATTTCAACAATAAGCAAACTCATATCAACTGTATGGTTCTTAACGACATTGTCATTGTTATTCACAATCATACTCCACGAAATATAGACAAAAATAAAAACTTCCGATGATGATGCTAACTACAGAACACCTCATGCATGGCCATGCATCTTCGGTCAGCCAGAGTGCTCTTTTTGGCTGCTCGACGGCAGGGCATAGTGGCATCAATCAGCTTGGTGGTGTCTATGTCAACGGGCGACCACTGCCGGATTCGACACGCCAGAAGATCGTCGAGTTAGCGCATTCAGGTGCGCGTCCCTGTGATATATCGCGCATACTGCAAGTGTCCAACGGATGCGTTAGCAAAATTCTAGGCAGGTAAGTGGGCGAACTAACAAACTGCCATTGACAACCAATGACATTAACGATATTTTTCTAAAATATGTAGGTTAAAACCCACAGATACAGATACTACATATGTATATTAACAAAAAAACATTAATTAATTTATAAATAAGATTAGTCATCCATTTTGTTTATGTGAAGTACTCACAAAATATATGTTATTATCTAATAAGTTAAGAAATAAATTACCATTAAATTGATTTGAATAATTGAAATGAATTGGTTAATTTAATGCATAACTTCAATTTTTTCGTAGCATAATGTAGTCAATTATGAGGTTTAATATATAGTTGTCGACATATATGTACATATGTACCTCATATTCAGACACACATACATACAAATATATATAGTGTTTTAAGGGAATAGGGTTTATTCGTGTAAAGCAAGATTTTTTTTTATAACTCTTTTAATGAAACAGTTCACATCTTTCTTTAAGAATCATTACTATCAAAAAAACTATTTAAAAATACACCACCGGCAGCAAATACTCGGCAGTGTTTCGAGAAAGAGTCCAATTACAGTCCCCTTCATATATAATTCGGTGCTGGATCATCTGAAATCTAAAAATCAAAATCACATTGTCAGATAACGTAAGACATCCGTTCCCACGACAGTCGGGTCTACGAAAACCGGAACGGATCCGGATTTTTATCCGGCCAAGGACTGTCAACTCGGCAGAATTCTGCCGTTACAACAACAACAACATAACGTAAGATATGTATATTATCGTGATCTTAATAGAGTATTATGGTGAACAAAGCTTTTAGCAGGGATAAAATGATGGGCTATTTATTCCATTGTGAGAGCGTTCATTATAGCCAGATCAGTCAAATTAATAATTTTACGGCATTTTTTTAACATGAGGAAAAACTATTAAAATCCTTTTTTGTAATTTTGTGATATATAAACATAATAAAACAATTGATTTTTGAACTTCACTACAAACAGTGACGTGGGAGCCTAGTCGCGAGTGCGGTGACTGTTTATTCGATGACAGGAGATATTTCGTCATGCCCTCGTTCACTACTATACCGATTTTCTTTGCTTCCTTATCCATTCTGGAGAAAGCAGATCTAACGGCGCGATTGTTGAAGCCAATGACATCAATATCATCGGCGTACGCCAGCAACTGGACACCCTTATAGAAGATGGTACCTCCGTTCACCAAGAGTAGAATGAAGAAGTCGAAAGGGAGTCACTTTATCGGAAACCTCGTTTGGGATTGACCGGGATACCACTCAGACATCTCGGTATAAAGGCAGCTCCTTTTCGTGCTATCAAATGCAGGGTTTTGCAGGACGAAGAGGTGGTTTTTGTCGATTCTCTTTCCACGGGTCTTTTCCATGATTTGGCGCATGGTGGATATCTGGTCAATTGCTGATTTTCCAGGTCTAAAGGCACACTGATAAGGTCCAATCAGTTTGTTGTCGGTGAGCTTTAATCTTTCACACAATACGCTCGATACGGGTAGAGCCTTATATGCGATGTTGAGGAGACTAATCCCACGGTAGTTGGCGCAGATTGTGGGGTCTCCCTTTTTATGGATTGCGCATAGCGCACTTAAATTCCACTCATTGGGCATGCTTTCGTCCGACCATATTTTGCAAAGAAGGAGAAGATACATGCTCCTTATCAGTACTTCGCCGCCGTATTTGAATAGCTCGGCCGGCAATTCGTCGGCCCCCACCGTTTTATTGTTATTGTAATTTCTATTCGAACTCCTGGGAAGGGTTTGTTTCGCCTTCTCACTTTAGCTCGCCTTTAACCGATGTCCTTTGCTAGAAGATAGAGTGGCTTAAAACCGGATGTGAAGACCTGCTTAAGCCATATGTAAAATAATCGTTTCTGGCCACTCAAAAGTGAATGACAATCACAGAACTTTCCTCACTTGCGTGATCTTCTACACACGACTCCACCCTCCATACACAACACTCAGTTGCCACTCACCATCCATAGCACATTACTCAGTTATAAAATATATAAAGATTAACTGAGTAGCTCAGTCAGTAGGAAGTCTTGCCTTGCCCATTATTACCCTTGTTCTACCTTGGACAGATAGTTTGTCACACTCAGAAGGAAACGTTGATATTCCTTTTCTCCCTAAGAAACTGCTCATCTGATCAAACCGCCATGGAAAGAAATAAGTGCTTATATGGAAAGTTTTTTCATTTGTCGAATTGTTTTCACGAAATTTAACATGGATTATTGAGTAAGTACGCAATAGTGCAATTTTCGAAGAAAGATCGGGACACTATAGCATAGCTGTCATATAAACTGAACTATTGGAATAAAGTGCTTGTAAAGAATGTTTTTATTTGTGCCTTTACTATATGTACCTTCGGCACAATCGAAGTGAAGGTTTTTTCTTACTTTTGTTGTTGTAACGATGTTAATATCAACACAAAAATTTATGTAGAATACTCCAGAGGTGACGTCTATAATTAAATAACATCCGAATGTGTTCACTTTAGTTTTGATGAGGAAACTCCTTTTGTTCGGAACTTAACTGCTGCCGCCGTTTAAAATATATAAAAGGTGTTTTACTTCAAGAATAAACGTTTACTCTCTTTAATATCTCTGCAACAATTAAACCTATATTAAACTAATACGCTGAGGAAAAGTCTTCTTGCACTTTATTATGAAATGTAAAAATGGCTGAATAAAACTCTTTATAACGGCTATGACGATTGAATGTGATAAGTCGCTAAACAAATAATTTTGCGTGACCTCAGTTCGTAACACTTTGGAATTTTGTAGATTTCATTTATCACTGAATTCACGCCTAGATCACAGTGCAGGTCAGCAGGCCTCACGTACCAAAGAGCATTACTTAAAGTCCTTAATACCTTATTTGGAAAGCTCTAAATGCTGGCCAATACAGCTTTGACTTGAGAAACTCCATAGTTGGGCTCCGCATGCACAAACTGGCTTTTGAACTTGACCGTATATTAACAGCTTCTTTGGGATTGATAGAGTGGATTTCTTGCGAACTAGGTGGTAAAGTTTCATATCAACCTCACTTATTCTTATCGGATGCTCTTTCTAACGTAGCTTAACAGGAGTATTATTTATATAAATCGGATGATATGTCGATTTTGTCAAGGTAAAGTCGAAGTAAATTCATTTGGTGTCGGTTAATTTGATGCGCCACTTAGATTACCACTTAGTATTTGCTTTGTTTCAGATACTTAATTGACACTCCAGCTGCTAACAAAGCTGTGTCGCTCTCATATAATTTGAGTCAGCAAGTTGGAGTATGCATCCTCTTGTTTAATCTAGAACTACCTATCGTTTAAGTAGGAAGCAATTATTTTGCAATACTGTTTGGGTAACATGTATTTCAATTTGAATAGCAGACCCGAATATCAAACTTTGTCAAACTTTGAGACACGTTTAAGAAGACTGCTGGTGCTGACGAAAGCCAAATTGATGTATTGGTATGAAGTGTTTACGATCGTTTATTAGTTTGAACCTATTTATGAGATTTTAGATAAAGCTGGCACCAGCGATATTTGCCCATATGATGTAATACCAAGTTCAGACCGACGCTTAATCAAACGATTTCGGCTGTTGAGTAGTTTATACTACGAATCGTATAAATTTAACTATATTTCGAAATACAAAAATTAAAGTTCTTAATATCCTCGCTGAGGCTATTCGAATCTAATCCCAGCGAAAACTCTCTGAAAACGACTCTGATTTAGCACCACCCACTTGTCAGCATTGTAAATCTATTACATTATCAAAGCTGATTTAGACTCTACAAAGTGAAAAAATGTAAACAAACAAATGAATCAAACGCAATGAATCTGAACTCACCTAGAAATCAATTTCGCAAATAAAAAAATGCGCCCATTACTTCCATTACAGGGGAAATGTTCAAAAGAAGACGGCTTTTATAACAAAATAATTTATGACAATGTTTTATTTTAATAAACATGAAGCGATGTGAATTCTTGAATGGCAAAAACATCTGTTTTATCATCTGTCCAACGACTAGATTAGTGCAGAGATTAAATATAATCTAATCGCTTAAAATTTTTGGTGGGAACATAGTATAACATCTTGTACAGGCATGCACGGCTTACCTCGTTTATAATATTTGCAATTTTCTTTATATAATTTTTTGGTAAATTTCATTATATTTCTCCAGTTGTTAAATCGTACTCAGGTGCTTTTTTTGAGTCGCGTATTCCCGACAACATTTTTAATTTATTTACTGGTAACAGGAGAAATGCTGAAGTGTGGATCCAACCAACTATTTTCACAGTTTATCTCTTATCCATCGTTAGGCGTAAATGTGTTTCTCAAATGATTTGCAAATACGGCAGCTTTATGTTCATTCGTTTTGGCCCATGGAGCTTCGTTTAGTTTTATTGGTGCGACATGTTTTATTTGTTTATTCATATTTCTTGTTGCTTCCAGAGTGAATAATCAGTGGACTTTTCAGCTGTAAGTTTAGCCAGATATCTTAAAAAAAAAAACAATTTTTAAACTGTTTAGTTTGTGTCCTTACTTTCGCTGTTCATTTATCTCCGACGAAGCTTGCTCTTTTTATGGATACTTTCTGAGCTATGTTTTGGGTATTTGTTACCACTTTGATTCACGCGGCTATTTGATGTACGAGGTGTGTTCAAAAAGTATCGCGAATTTTGTGTTTTTTCAAAACTTATTTATTTATTCATGAATATCTAGTTTGTCCCCTTCAAAGTAATCCCCATTTGATACATTATACATTTGTGCCAACGGTTTTTCCAATCTTCGAAGCACTTCAAAAAATCATTTTTTTTATCTTCTTCATCTCCTGCTTCGATGCCGTCTTTATTTCGTCAAGAGAAGCGTAACGTCGTCCTTTCATGGGCCTCTTCAGTTTAGGGAACAAGAAAAAGTCACAGGGGGCCAGATCTGGGGAATACGGTAGCTGCGGCATCATTAGCGTGTTGTTTTTGGCGAAAAAGTCGCGCACAAGCAACGATGTGTGAGCAGGGGCGTTATCGTGGTGCAAAAGACAATTTTTGTCACATCTTCTCGGCCTTCTGAGATCATTTTGTACCACCGATAAACGTTGCTTCAGTCCTAGGTAGCTTCTCCGTATGCCACAGTCAACATTCGGAATGCATCCGCGCACTTAATTTCGTTTTTCACACAAATTTTTGTACAGATTCTTTGATCCATTTTTTTGAATAGGTAAAAATCGAAGACGATCCAAAACACGTGCAAGCAAAGCAGCTTTTAACAACTAAATAAACATTCAAAATGGCCGAGCGTGTCGGCATAAGTGAGAGACATGAGTACCAACATAACGCCACAAAAAATTCGAAATTCGAATATACGTAACCCGCGAAAATTCAAAATTCGCGATACTTTTTTTTTCGATACGCCTTGGCATCTCTCGTGTTCAGCTGTGTAATTTCGAGCTCCTGTTAATTTGTTTAATTTATATTTTAAAACTATTGTGAAAATCTTTGAATTGAGTGATCCGTACAGATAAGTATCCCTGTGATATTTTTCTATTAAAKCATTTGAAATTTACTTAAATTGTGTGTTGATAATTTTAATATATTCCGCCGAGTCACTTTCAATTTCTTTTTGTTGCTATATTCCAAAATAGTGCAATTGTTGGTGTTAACTTATACTGCTTTTCTAAATTTATTCCTTTTTTTTATTCGTTTTCCATCTTTGTTCACAGCTGTTTGCGAGTTTCTTACTTTTCGGGTATCCCAGTGCATCTCAAACTGCTCGTTACCTTGGTTGTTGCATTTGATAACTTATATTGCATTTATTTTGTTATAAATATTTTTGTCATTTCTCTTTCTACTTTTATTACTTAATTTTTTATATTTTTATTTAAATTTCTTATTGCTGCTTATTATCATTATGACTTGTAATTTCCCGAATGGCTCTGTTAAATTCGAGTCGGAACGCTTTGTTTCTTGCTGGCTGTGTGACGGGCTTGCCGATCTGAAATGTGCTGGACTGACAGGAAGAATTTTGTATTCTATTCTTGACAGTAAGAGCTTGCGCTGGTCTTGCATTAAATGCAGACCAACTGAAATTGATTTATTTAAAGTTTTTAAGCAGGCGCGCAATAATTTCAAGGAGATTGGTCGTGAGCTTGAAACCCTTACAAATAAATTTAGGCATTATGAAAGATTGTTTCATTCACTTAAATGCCTAAATGATCAGGAAGAGAATCCAAAACCTTCCAATAAACGTAAACGTCCGTCTGATGAAGAGACCACTGCTTCTTCCTTACAAAGAATGCCTCCCCCCAATATTGACCTCATCAATCTGTCTTCCCTTGTCCACAAGGAGAGAAGGTCTCGTCTGCTCAGAATACAGAGAAAGCTGTTACTGAGCATGGTAAGCGAAAACCTTCTCAAGATCCGCTTCCAAATAACTGTAAGTCACTGTAACTGTAAAAATTTAATTGTAATACAGCGGAAAAAATCAATATTTACCACCGTCGATGACATAAAGATTTATATCTCGTCTAAACTAAAATCGGAAGATGCAGACATCCGAAAATTTAATTTCAAATATGACAGGGATATTTCATCTTTCAAGATCGA